GGACGTGAGACACACAAAAAGCTTCCGTGCTGTTCTGCCATCTTGGCTCCTGCTAAAGTTAGCATTCTTTTCGATGAGTGTACTTGCCTAACATTCTTGAGTAACTTGAAGCTACGCTGAGTTTGAATAATGCTGGTGATGATGATAATAGATATTTGTTTTCTCTATGCAGGCCAAGGTCTCTCCACCTTGACATCAATGACATTTGAGGGTGGATAATTCTTTGCTGAGGGGCCTGTCCCGTGCATTGTAGAATGTTGGACATCATCCTTGGGCTTTGCCCACCAGGTGACAGTGGTACTTTCCTTGTTTGTGACGACTGAAAATGTCTCCACATATTGCCACGTCCCTGTGGGGGTAGAATTGAGAGCCACTAGTGTGGGCATGGCCTAAATGCTATAGTAGCATCATCTCATTACCTCATATGAAACATATGAAGTTAGAATCATTGTTATCCCCATTGTTAAAACTAGGAAAGTGTTAGATCCTCAAGAGCTCATTCAAGGTCACTCAGCCGGTATACTTGGGGGCTTCAGTTGGTGGATGCTACTTCCTAATATAGAAGAAAAGTAAGTGCAGTGATTAGAAAACTGTATAATGGAAAATGAATTTGCAGTTTTGTACAAAATTAAATATGCATTCTGACTCTTGGTTTTTGGCTCAGGTCATGATCTCATGATTTGTGGGTTTGAGTCTCACAGTGGGGTCCATGCTGACAGTGTGGAGCCTGCTTAGGATTCTCTCTCTCTCTCTCTCTCTCTCTCTCTCTCTGTCCCCCCTCAAAAATGAACCTAAAAAAATTCAATATGCCTTTAATATACAGTACAGTATTACCATTCATTGGTATCTACCCTGGAGAAATTAAAACTTACATTTCTAGAAAAACCTGTGCCCAAATGTTCATAGCAGCTTTGTGATAGCCAAAAGCTGGAAACAACCCAAATATCCTTTAACTCATGAATGGAGTTTAAAAAGTTGTCTTTGAGGTGCTAGTCCACTGTGTTACTGGTTTTGAACTCACTGAAATAAATTCCTTTTTTGTTTCTCTCTCTCTCTCTCTCTCTCTCTCTCTCACACACACACACACACACACACACACACACACACACACACAAAGAAGAAGAGTTGGTTGGATACAATTGTTGACTACCTAGCAATAAAATGAAACTATTGATACATGCAACAACTCGGATGAGTTTTAAAGACCTAATCTTTTATGAGAGAGAAGCCAGATTCAAAGGACAGATATGATGCCATTTATCCGGCATTCTCAAAAAGACAGACTCTAGTGATGAGAACAGATCACAGGGGTTGCCAGGGCTTGACTATGAAGGAGCAGCTGGAGAGGGTGTCTGTCTTTGGCACCTACTAAAAATGCATGCTAAACTTAAATTTATTTTGATTTTTTCTTAGCTCCTTCAGGCTATGCACATGCATTTTATTTTATTTTTCTCACTTCTAGAGCTGTCTCTATTTTAAGAAGTGTAGATTGATGCTATTCTATGGCAAGGGTTGGCAACAACCACCGATGGGCCACATTTGGCCTGCCATTCTGTTTTTATAAATAAAGTTTTATTAGAACGCAGCCACATCCATTCATTTAGGTATTGTCTATGACTGCTCTTATGCTACAACAGCAGACTAGAATATTTACTATTTATCCCTTAACAGGAAAAGTTCTCTGACTTCTAGCCTATAGTGTTACCTAAACCAAAGAGTAGATCTTCGTATGGTTTCAACATAGAATAAGATTATCTAAAGGAAGATTTTTATTTTTTATTAAAAAAATTTTTTTTAACGTTTTATTTATTTTAATTTTTTTTAACATTGATTTATTTTTGAGACAGAGACAGAGCATGAACGAGGGAGGGGCAGAGAGAGAGGGAGACACAGAATCGGAAGCAGGCTCCAGGCTCTGAGCCATCAGCCCAGAGCCTGAGGCGGGGCTCGAACTCACGGACCGCGAGATCATGACCTGAGCTGAAGTCGGACGCTTAACCGACTGAGCCACCCAGGCGCCCCAAGGAAGATTTTTTAATAATAGTAAGATTTTACATGAAGCTGTGTACCTTGTATTCATTGCCCCCCTCCAAATAATCAGAGTGTCCCCTCTTTCCTTCATATGTGTAGTTTTTTTTTTTAATGCTTAGTTTTTGAGAGAGAAAGAGAGAGAGAGAGACAGAGTGTGAGCAGGAGAGGCACAGAGAGAGAGAGACACAGAATCTGAAGCAGATTCCAGGCTCCGAGCTGTCAGCACAGAGCCTGATGTGGGGCTCAAACTCACAAACCACGAGATCATGACCTGAGCCAAAGTCGGATGCTTAACAGACTGAGCTGTCCGGGCACCCCTGTGTAGTTTTCTTTTAAGTAGCCTCTACCTTTTGGCATTACACAATTTGTTTGAAACAACGTCATTTGCAGCCATCACTACTAAGAGTTGAGAAAAAGCATAAATAAATGTAATGTCAACATGATCTTGAAACATTATTTCAGCTGTCTTCTAGCTATCCACAAATTGGCAAGAAAATTTTATGTGCAAAAAGAACTACTTTTATTTTACGGTTCTCTCCTCATTTAACTCTTATTTGGCACAACTTTTTATTATTCTGTGGACGAGTCAAAAGCTTAATAGTAGGGGGAAGAAAGATAGAATAAGCTAGTGACATGTGCGATTAGAAAAGCAGACACTCTTTCTCCAGTACATGTGACTAGAGTACATTGGTATTTGTGCAATATATACATTTTTGTTCATGCATTTGAAATACCTTTTTAAATATTTTTCTGAAAGGTCAGTGAAAGTAGCTTATTTATTGGTAGTAAGTCTTGTTGTCTATTTTTTGTTTGTCTCCATGATGTCCAGAGTTATAAGAAGTGTTTGTAATTCACTACCTGCTTACAAATACCAATTCCTTCCTACTTCCCCTCTTTCTTTCTCTTTCTTTTTCTTTTCTTTCTTTCTTTCTTTCTTTCTTTCTTTCTTTCTTTCTTTCTTTCTTATTTGAGAGAGAGTGCATACATGCAGGAAAAGGGAGGCGCAGAGGGAGAGAGAGACTTAAGCAGGCTCCGTGCCTGACCTGGAGCCCAACGCAGAGCTCAATCTCATGATTGGGAAAACCGAAATCAAGAGTTGGACACTTAACCAACTGAGCCACCCAGGCACACACCGCACCCCCCCCCCCATTCTTTCTTTATAACCTTTATTAGTCATTGTAGTTTAGAAAATTAACAAAGTTCAGCCTTTTTTTCCTCTGATGGCCTTACTGTACTGATCAAGTGTGTCCATGCCATTTCTCAGGACCAGTTGTGAGTTACTTTCAAGCCAATACAAAACATCTAGATGGAAGCATGTTTCCACTTCTGTTATTGTCCATGGAATTGGAACACTGTGTGCCCCTTTCTCATGTCCTGTCATTTCCTCTTTGAAAATAAAAGACAAAACCTGTCAACTCACTTAGCTTTAAAGGAGGTTGCATATGTAAGGTGTAGACTTTTAGTATTAGAGATATTGCATTTTTTTTTAATTTTTTTTTTAAATTTTTTTTTTAACGTTTATTTATTTTTTGGGGACAGAATGAGACCGAGCATGAACGGGGGAGGGGCAGAGAGAGAGGGAGACACAGAATCGGAAACAGGCTCCAGGCTCCGAGCCATCAGCCCAGAGCCCGACGCGGGGCTCGAACTCACGGACCGCGAGATCGTGACCTGGCTGAAGTCGGACACTTAACCGACTGCACCACCCAGGCGCCCCGAGATATTGCATTTTTATAACCACAAGCATTAGAGACTAGGAAAATACCATGAACTGAACACTTACCTTCTACACATTTGGCAATAAATTCTTTATATGTATTATCTCAGATAATACAACTCTGTGGATATATACCTACATTTTAGAGAAGAGATAATTGGCTCAGAGACAATGAGTGATTTGCACAAAGACAATTAGCTTGCTTTTTGCCTGTCACATTTTCACTACCCCACCTGAGAGTTTAAGATAAACTACTGTGGTAGGAGACTTACTGGCAAGGTGCCCGTAATCATGAAGCAGCATCAGCACATAGGAGGAGTGTTAGTCTGGCACCTGTGGTCATTCCCTGTGGCAAGATATAACATGGTTTCCGCTAAAAATATTTGAAGGTTGGGCCTCCAATGACCTTTTGCATAAAGACCAAGATTGTTACTACTATTCAACAAGGATGTGTTGAGCTGTGTAAACTCTACGTTATCCTTGGCACTGAGAAAGATTCAAAAAGCCATAGTCTTTGTCGTATAGAAACTGTCTATTTGGGAGGCAAAATTGCTCCATATGGATGTGTTAAACCACGGGTTCTGTGTCCAGCTTGCACACTTAATCACTAGTGTCTACTGTGCCTTGTGCTCTGCATCGGGAGGTGGGAATACAGGAGGTGGGGTGGTGATCTTGTCCCCATGGGGCTTATCTTGTAGTAGACCATCAGCCAGTAAATAATAGACCCCTAGACAAGAAATCACAGATTCATAAATATGTTGAAGGGAATAAACATCATGACAGAGACTAGTTAGTGGGAACAGTGTACTTTAGACAGGATACCTAAGGAAGGAAGTCTTTCTGAATAAGTGTCAATTAACACGGAATCTTGAGGTAGCTCGATGCAAGATGCCCACCACCAGTTCTTCTTCTCCTGTACATACATGACATTTCCTCATTAGGAAGAGTCTGTTTCTTCATTCCCGGAAATGTGGGCTGGCTCTCGCCTGCTCTGATCATAGACTGTAGCGGACGTGACGTGCTGGGACGTGTAAGCCTCGGTCAGAAGATTCTTTGCAGCTTCTACCGGAGCTCGTTTTCTTTTTCTCCGTGAGTCACTCCTCTCCTGTGGGAAGTTCAACATATTCCCAGGCTCCCATGTTGTGAGGAAGCCCGAGCCAGCTATATGGAGAGGCTGGAGAGAGAGAGAGAGAATGTGATGCTGGCTAGCCCCCATCCCGGTCCAGGCATTAGATATGCAAGTAAACGAGCCATGACAGCCCCCGTAAACTCTACACGGACAAGAACCAAGATCCCTTACTCGTGGCCCGTTCTGTCTCCAGCGGTTTCAGCCATCCCAGCTGCAACCCCAGGTATCACAGAACAGAAACAGACCTCTGCTTGAATTCCCCCTGACCCACAGAATCATACACATCATGCCGTGGTTGCTGTATTAAGCCACTAAATTTGGAGAAATTTGTGACACAGCAATAGCCAACCAAAGAGTTAAATGTGAGGATGTGCAGCCAGTGATTCCGCACGTGGTACTAGACTCTAGGTATCGGCTATGCGTGGGACTATTCATGGCCTTGAAAAGCTCACATTGTAGGAGTGGAACTAGATGGGAAGGGTCACAGTAATGACAGGGAATAGAGAATGGTCTGTGATATGACAGATAATTACCAATGACGGGTACATAATTTACCTAAAGGTAAGTGATGCTATATTTACAATAGAACTGACCCAGAAGAGAAGACGATGGTGAGGACGACAGGTAGAAAACATAAGAACACAAGACTGCAGTCGATGCTGCTAGTGGGAATTTGCAAAACCAAAAGTGTGTAATGTGTTTGTAATGTGTGTTACTCTGAGTGTGCTGAGAAGCAGACATCAGAGGAGGATTGCACTCTCCAGGATCTCATCAGAGGAAATGCCCATGTGAAAGGGAGTTAGGAAGCAGAGGGAGAGGCTGGGGGAGGGTTCTGGCCTCCATCAAACCTGACCCCCAATGAAGGGGATGGAGAAGGTTGGGTGGATGGCTATGAACTCTCAGGAGGTTTCAGCCGAGCCATTAGGGAGTCCTTGAGCTGAAAAGGAGTGCCATATCTCCCACAAATGGGTCCATGCCTGTGTTTCCATCATGCTGAATCATTGCTGGGGAACAGTGCCTGGGAGGCTCAGCGCAAAGGCACTGGTGGATTGTGGAGCTGAGGGTCTCGCCCCAACACGCTGCCTACAGTGGGCAGTCAGGGAGGCACATTCGTGCAGTGGGAGTTCAGGGAGGCACGTCCCTGCACTGGGTGGTCAGGGAGGCACGTCCCTGCAGTGGGAGTTCAGAGAGGCACGTCCCTGCAGTGGGTGGTCAGGGAGGCACGTCCCTGCAGTAGGTGGTCATGGGGGCACTTCTTCATGGCCATCCTATCATGATAAAGTGCTCGGCTTCTGGAGACAAAGCGGAGCCACTGGGGGAGGGGAGGAGCATTAAGTAGTGACAGAGCCAGATTTCAGCTTTAGAAAGGTCAGCCCACAGCTGTGCAGAAACTAGCTTGAAAGAATAGTCTGGAGGCTATGGAAGTCAACAGGGTGGTCATTTGCAATAATTTTGTGAAGGTATTAATCTTTCCTGTGTGTGACTGAGGTGAGTGATTCAAGAAATATGTCCAAGGCAACCTTAGGTGGCTTGTGATCAGTGGGATGAGGTCAGGGGATGAAGAGAAGGAGTGAACAACGGTGGTCCTTCACAGCTAATAACAACATAGGGGATTGTGCACTCTCGCAACAGACACCTGAAGGGGCGGGGGCAGTTGTGCCTGGGGCTGGAGACAGGACCATGTGCTTTAAGGACACGATGGGGAGGCACCCAGGAACTTGTTGAAATATGGTTTGGGGTTTAGAAGAGATGATAGGACTGGAGGTGAAGATCCGAGAGGCAGGGACAGACAGAGGAGTGACTGGAACATGGGAGCAGAGGGCATGATCCAGGGACAGCACTCCTGGAGACCTGCGACAGTCTACAGCCAGCAGGTGACAAGCCACTGAAACCCTGCCTGGGCTGCCATTTGGACTTGAAGAAGGAAGCGGCAGCGTAACCGTTGAGCAGGGAGGGGTTTTGCAAGAAGCACTACAACAGCCACACGAAAGCAGGACAGGTGGAGATGGTTGGCAACTGGGCAGAATTCACCGCATTTAGTGACTGGGAGGCCCGCAGTCGTCACCACACACAGCAAACGTTAGCTGAGCAGTTATTATGTGCAGAGGTAAATTTTGCATAAATACGAACATGTCACAAAATATGGTGTATTACTTTTTGTGTGACTTTTTCAAAGATCTTTTCCATTCGTATGCCTTTTAGTTTTTTTTTTCCCCTGCAACAGCCCTGTCTCTGGTGTTCTCATTTTCACCTCATAAATGAGGAAACGATACAGAGTCATCACGCCGTGGTCAGAGAGTGGTTTCATGGTGGAACCAAGTCTCGATGCCAGGTGCTGTGATTCCCGTGCTTCGCAAGGCGGATTGTTGCCAAGCGGCCTTGTGACCACTGATGTGTGCCCTTCCCCTTGCCCTGTGCCCCTTCAATGTAATTGGAGTTAGAGGCCCTATTCCAAGATAGCAAAAGGTTTATAATCGCACTTACGTGTCGCTTCCCTGTAACATTTAATTACTTTAAGGTGAGCCTGGTACGCACTGTCGCAGATGGGTTGGCTTCTGTCCATGTGCAGAATTATTTGTCTTAATTGTCCAAGAGTGAAAAGAGTCACCGAACTTTGAGATGCTTCCCCAGCTCTTGAATCTACACCTTCCATGAAGGGAGAAACACACAGTGAAAGTTTTTAAAATATGCCCTTTGTATCTGTTCAGCGGGAAAAACCCACAGCAGCTGGGATCATCTTGTTTGTGCAGACCCATCAGACAAGTGTGCATTTTGCTGCCCATGTGCATGTGCTGATACCCAGTCTTGCCTGCTCTTGCCTTTTCTCTGGCACGTCAGGATGTCTCTATCTTGGATGTGCTCCTGCCGTGCCCAAGTCCACTGGGCTCTTGGAGAAACTTAGCCCGAGGCACAGTTTGGGTTGTCAGGGGTTGGGGGGGGGGGGGGGGGGGGGGGGGGGGGGGGGGGGG